TTTAAATAAATTCTCAGTAGTAGCACGGCGTCTGGAATTGTGCCCGGTATATGGCAATAGGCTCACCCCCTATTACATGGGACTTATAACATAAATACGGAAAAGTGGGTGTTCCATTGTACAGTGGCATAATGTGCACCTTTATGTTATGTCATATTTAAAAATAACTGAGAAAATATTAGTATTTCATAACGTTGTCATCTCAAATCTCTTTTGATAGGAGTTTTAGTAATCATCTTTTCAGAAAATAGTACGTGCCTCAAATAATTAGCACAATTGTTTATGTTACAAATCTATGATAAAGACATTAGCATACAGCATACAATATGTTTTAAGTAAACAGTTCATTGATATCTGAAATCTCAATATGAATGAAAATCTCAAAAAAATAAATACCTAAGTACATTATTATCTTAATTGCCTGAAATAAAATTATAACGGTACCTAATTTTCAAAGAACAAAATAATATAATCATAAAAGGTCTTGACATTAGTTAGTAATTTTCATAAATTACAGCCAATTGAGTTCAACAACCTTTCAGATTTGTTATAAAATAGCAAAATTTTGTATATTTCACGCATTTTGAAAGATAGATTCAGTCGAAGAAGCTGAAAGAAATATTTACTAGCTAACATAATAAGTGATAAGTGACAATACATCAAAGTACCTATCATTACTCAATTACAAAAGAAAGAGGTTTTATAGCAATTAATAACTTTCGTCTTGTTAACTCAACTATGTCAAAAAATTGTAAACCACCCTGTACATTATTATTTAAGTGTGGGAGAGCCATGCTTCGGCACGAATGAGCCGGCTCGACTGGAGTGATACCACGGCCTCACAGAAAACCGACGTGAAACAATGCTTGCGTTGTGTTTCGTCGTGTGAGTGAGGTTACCGGAGGCCCAATGAACCCTTCCCAGTCTCCCCAATCTCGAATCCCCCACAATCCTCAAACTCCTAATTCCCAAAAGGCCGGTAACGCAATTGTAACGCCTCTGGTGTTCCAGGTGTCCATGGGCGACGCCGATTGCTTACCATCAGGTGATCCGTCTGCCCGTCCGACTTATCTCATAAAAATTAAATAAAACATGCTATGGATGCATTAAAGTGATTTGATTCCTTCAGTTAAGATATAAGTGCTTCATACAGGTACCTACTTATTTATTCAAAGAATTTTAATGCGAGAAATAAAAGCCGAACGATGTTCTGCGTCAAACATTCATTTTCAGTCGAACAAAACTATGATCATGCGATATTCGTATACTTACTTATTCAAGTAAAATTAAGGTATTTTTTTATCACATCATTGTCACTTTATTTGTTTTTTATTCTACACATTACCAACTATCTCGTTAATCATGTGACAGCTGTTTTATTGTTGGATTTTTCGTTTCTGAAATTGTAAACACTGCGCATGCGCAAGCAACTCAAAATGTAAGTTCTACGCCCTCGTACTAGGTAATACAGCTTTGCTATTGGCACAGGTATCGGAAAGGTTTATTTAATTTTGATAATACATATTATATTTGAACATAAAGTAACATTTGCAACTTCCTAAAATATATTGTACACAATATTTATTGATTCGTAGGTGGCCTACAATATAAAAAAAAAACATACATTAAACAGTCAATGAAATAAAAACAAACAAGAACGAAAATTATAAAATAATTTATTACCAACTCTAAAACATTATGATATGGCAAGAACAACCAAATAAATAATATTACGACTTCAACTTAACAACTAAACTAAAACAATAAATGCAGAAAATAATAATATCACGATAACAAGACCAAACAAGATGTAGAGAGTCAATACTTATGTCGCAGTTGTCTTACACCTAAATGAAACTTGCAAACTTGTCTATACTTACTTAAAAATATTTATTTATTCGACCTATACCATAAACATAGAATACTTTAACTATTCGTACAAAACGTTATAATTTGTCAATCAACATATTACCAAACATACCCTTAATTTAAAATCATACACAATTATTTTCATACTAACACATCTCATACTTTTTGGACCTGATCTTATAAAATAAAACACCAGTTACTGTGTCTTTTCATCTGGTTGGCCGTCATCTACGACCATGTCTATCTCCACTTCGTAAGTCCCTGGCTTGGTGCGCGAGGGCCTCACCACAATTCCAGGCATCTTGGATTCCTGCACCCCATCAACTTCGTTTTCAGCATTGTTACCAATAGGCACCTCACCTTTCACGCTTGCCGGAGCATCAGGAACAGATATACTATTAAGCTGATCTTGGGGTAACTTCACAGACATTAACCCTTGAAATCTTTGGACGAACATCTCCAATATTGGACCAAACCTTGAAACACCGTCAGTTGACAGCAAGAATCTGTCGGCAGCTCCTTCTTTAGGTCGGAGCACAAACATGTTGAAGTTGAGGGTCTTCTTCACCGGCCGGGCCGCTGCCTGCCCGATGCAGGCTATAGCGATGAGTACGAACAGCGCTCGAGGTGACATTATGTTAGAGTAGGTTCGCGTGGCGGTAGCGTGCGCCCACGGCGGCGAAAGACTCCACACTGCGCCAGTTGCGTTTTTGCCGCGCATCTAAGCCAAGATAACGGGTCCACAGCAAAAAGATCATAATTGCCTCGCATCGTACCGAACGTTGATAATTGCAACGATCTCTCGACACCTTTCCTTTGGAAAGCGATTCCATCTTAATTCAAGTGAGTCATCATTATCAGACGCCCAAAAATTTATGATCCTCTTTGATGAGTATTGTTCATGAAACTAGTTTTGTATTATAAGTGTCTGCGAAGATATTGACAGATCTAGCTTAATTGGTTTTGGATCGACCATTAAAGTTTGTATAAAAAATACTGATATAATATACATCTCAATGTTGTGGTGGAGCTGTGAACTTTAAGTCGGAGACGATAAGTGACAAATTCGATTGTGCTTGTGGTGATATAATTTGCACATTACTGCACCTATAGTTTTGAATCATATTTATAGCCATCCATCATGAGAGACTCTTGTACGTGATTGATCGTAATATAATGATGCAGCATCAAGGTCACTACAATGCAGGTCAATGAAAATAAACAAAATGCGGTTTGTGGGCTTTTTGCGATTGTTTTGTTCTTAGCTTTTATTTCTTTTTAATGATAGAAATTTTGATGGTCTATTAGCTGGAACGAATTATAGCTTTTTATTTTAGCAAAACGACAAGTGTGTGTAATTTGATATACTTACGGTTATTATCGTCGAAAAAGTTTCGAAATTGTTGGAAGATTTTTGCTTATTATCCGTTTGAAGACTTTTTGATGTCAACTAAAGGAATAGAATAAAAGAACTTGGACAATTAACGTTATAGATATGCAGGTAGAAAATGGGTAAATACCAAATGGTAACTTGATCACACACTTGTAGACACGTTTCTTATTCATGCTAGCTGACAAAAGAAAAATCCTTAAAAATTCTATCAAGTATCTCACCGTCAAAAATACCTGACCAGCAGGAATGACTAATGTACAGAATACACAATAATTGAAACAACATTACAATTTAATTGAATTAAACCGTCCACGTCCATCTCGGGTCAATTATCTGTTATTTATGTCCAATCACATTTCCAATTGGCCATAATTATACGTCCGATTCCTTTGGAGATCATAAACTGGTAACCATTCTCGGAACTTGACAATTTTAGCTAAAAAGCTGAAGAAATGGTGGATGCAGTAAAAGGTATCTTGTTGGAAAGGAATAGGGATGCTATGGGTGATTCTGGATAGTAAATATAAGTTGGTAAATGTTATACTTTATAGGATTGAACGCCACCACAGGATGAGGCTCCGTTAGAGACGATAAAATGCAGTTTAAGTACTAACGGTAGCAGTTTCGCAGATAAAAGTTAGATTCTACAAGGAAGTATTAATATTGTTAATGATGGTCATCTCAGTTCAGGAAGTGTTCATTCGACTAAATTATTTCTCTATTATGTATTGTGTATTGATAGGATCGTTAATTTTGATAGGAACTAGTTTTTAGGCACTTTCGTTTTATAAAGGAAAGTTGGTTTCCAGTTCTTTTACTTTTCATAATTTTGTCTAATTGCTATGTGAAACATAGAACTATGTGTAAGTATTCATTAATCAGTACTTAGATGAGCGTCTTTGCTGATACCGTTATAGCTGGAAGAGATAGTTGAAAGGGTATTCGTAACTGTTATGTTAATAGTCTTATCTGTAATGGTTATTTAGGTAAATAACTATTTGCATCCAAAGCCACAGAAATTGTCAACACTTGGACATAAGGTTTAATATTAGTGGTACATCAACCAACCATATTTAGCATCAACAAGGACCATAAAGCAACACTCGTAGATGTAAGGAATTCAAAATCAGAACACGCTGGCAGATTTGCAACCAACCAATTACTTACTATATTTTACAACGACTTAAATATGAAGAACTCGAGATCTCAACTCGTTAATCTTATTGCATGTATGAGCTAAACTGACATAGGTATTTAATGTAACCGTTTTTCGCCTTATGAAGGGAAATAGAGCTGATTATAAATCTCGGGCAATTTTACTAGAAGTACTGGTTAGTTATCTGATAGATAGCGCTGTAATTCGCGATGCTGTTAATTTATTATAGGAGAAAGCGACCGGTCCTGCTGGTAGTAGGGCGATGTCGCTCCATATAAGTTGTACAGTTGGTAAAGCTGGATTTTCTAAGGAATTTTACTGGAAATTGTTGTTTATGTTTACTTAAGTTAAGGAAGAGCTGGATAATATAATTGAGAGTGTATGCATCAACTTGTGGAGGATGTTAGATATCCAATTTACTGCAACTGGAAATTCCATATTTGTTATTTTTACTTGATACTGGTCTCTTAAACTATCATTGTATGGATATTCTATACTGTCTGACTAATCAATGGTCTACTGAACTGAACTACTGAATGGTCCGATACTTGGAAATCTAAAAGTGAGATAGAAAACAACAAAGTGAACAGTTTACGAAAATATATTTAACCATTTAATTTTCGTTATAAATATAAGAAACTACATTGCATTGCTTTGATTTTACAATCCATTTAATTGCATTCAATCGCGTATAGTTCGATACAAACTATAAAAGCAATGCAGCTTAGCATGTTCTTCTTAATGTTCAGTTTGTATCGAACTTTACTTAACTTATCATTCATTTTGGTGTTCAAATTAAATGTCTTCTTCTATAGTTTCTAAATTAATATAAATTTGTTCGATCACAGTATCCTAGTTGGTATCGTTGAGCTACGCTTTGTTTCGTGTGAGGGGTTGTGCTCTGTGGTTCGATTTCGCGTCAACAGCTTCTTTGGCTTCTTCAGTACCTTGTTTCAGTTGAGCTGGGGCACCTGGAAACATAGAATCATCATTTAAAATAAGTTTTAATATTATTTAAAATTGATGAGATGAATGCTTTGCTACTAGGGTCTTGATCTTAATTGTCTGAGGTTCATAACCACTACCAATGAAATAGTTCATCTTGCTTTGTATTCTTTTATATAAGATATGTGTATCGTATATATTCAAACCTATATTTCACAATGAAAAATTTTAATTTGTTTTTTTAATGAGAAGTTATTTAAAGAGACTATGGGGTGTCGATGTTCCGAAAGAGATCCTATCTCAATGAGAGACAAGTCCACGCATTAGTATGCATTATTTTTTTGTGGACTAGATTCATAAAAATAACTTAAAAGGTGAATGAATAATGCTTACCACTAGGTACTCTCAAGTTAGGCGTTTGGCCTGGGTGGGCAAGTTGGGCGACGGGTCCCTGATAGGCTGCAGGGTTGACTGGTCCTTGGAGTCCCACATTCTGGGAGAAGTGGATGGGACCTCTGCCATCTGCTTGGATAGGTTGACCAGCGCTGTGGAAAAATATATACAACAAAATGTATAATTATTTAGCCAAAAATCGACATTTAAGGGTCTCAATGAGAATTCTCAGTAGTTTATTGAACTTACGCATTAACAAGTCCAGGGTCTTGGTACACAAGGTCATAAGGTCGACTCTGGTAGCCGATGGGAGAGGGCAGCACCTGTGGTTGGACCAAACCTCGGTTGTAACCAGCATACGGATTCACGACGCTATGACCTGATGGGTCTACCAGAACTGTGTTCTGAAAACCTGGAAAACACATTGATTAATTTAGTTAAAAAAATACGATTCCTTATAAGAAATTTGCATACTTATTACCACTTGCGTATCTTCCAGTTACGGTTTATGGTATTTTTATATACCTCTAATAACTCAAATAGGTATAGACTGCATGCTACTGTTGAGAATTACAATTTACAAAAAGTCTTCAATAATAATTTACACAAACTAGACTCAAAGCCGCTTTTGAAAGTTTAAAAAGGTATGTATGTCTGTCTGCCTGTTGTCATGGTCAGTCCTACTCCAACGTACCTCTCTTTGCTCAAACTAAAGTTTAGCTTCCCATAAAGAAGAACTAGCAAACAAGTAAGTAGGTATCACATTGCAGATCTTGTACTAACCGCCCTAAGTATCTTGTAGACGCCTATAAAAGGACCATGACACGAAGATACTTGGAATTAAGGCGGTGATTTACCATTTCCTGGGAACCTAGCGTTTCCTTGAGGCGCTGCAGCAACAATGTACACAGGTTGGTAGCCTCCGATGCTTCCGGGGCTGAAACAGATAAAAAGAAAGATATAAAAATATGTTACAGTTTTTATTATTGGATAAGCCGGGAAACGAGCAGACGGATCACCTATTGGTAAGCAATCGGCGTCGCCCATGAACACCCGGAACACCAGAGACGTTACAAGTCCAGTACCGGCCTTTTGGGGATAGGAATTTGAGGATTGTTGGGGATTCAGGGGTTGGAGAGATTGAGGAGGGAAGGGGGGAGTTTCCTGTGAGGCCGTGGTATCTCTGGTCGAGCCGACCCATTCGTGCTGATGCATGGCTCTCCCATACTTAGTACACAGTTGATATATTATGTCAAAAATGTAATCTAATCTAATCTATATCCCCCATTCTGATCATCAAAATGTCCTACTATCTTACTTCTCATCTTACTAATACGTATTATAAATCTGAAAGTTACTGAGGATGTATGATGAGAGTGTAATTACTGTAATTAACTTTAGCAATAAAATGATAATTACCTGTAACCGGGAACTGGCATGTGCACTATGAACACTCTCTGTCCAGGCACCAGTCCAGGTATGTTAGGAGCTACTGGGTTCTGAAAACACAAACCATAGAAATTTTAGTATGCACCAGCATATGACAACAAACAAGCAATGTGTATAATAAAAGACTGGATAAATGTTGAATGATCATCAAAATTGTCAATCGGCTATGCTTAGTAGCCTTTAAAGATTGATTGTCGATTTTAAGTTAGCAATTAAACATGGAGGTTGATTTCTTTATAAACGTTGCCAATATGGGTATACTATACTATTCAACAACAAGTAAATGTTGGAAAGTAGCTTCTATATGTTGCATGATGCTTACCAAAACATCACTCAAAATTATGTGACTGCCTTATTAGTTGAATATTCAACTGCCTACTAAGGAATAGTATTAGGAAAAATTAGGTACTATAGTATTTTCATCCCACCCCTCTGTACGGGGCTTGTAACATTAGTGAAAAAAGGGAATGATCCTTTGAAACAATATGCGTGACATCAGTTTATTACAAAGAGTGTAGTAAGGTGCCTGACAAAACAAATACCCACAGCATTCACTCTACATTAACTTGCTTAGAAAGTCCAAGAGGCACCGGCGCCAATCATTATTGTTCAGTTCTCTTACCTACTGCTTTGTTTCATATCCTATGCTATAGAAAGGTATAAATACCTGTTGTGGAGGTTGCTGTGGCTGTTGTACTCCTGGCACCAACTCGACCTCACTGTCTGGCTCCAAGGACTCCAGACGAGCAGGCGAACCATGAGGACCATTTACACTGACTGCAACAAAGAAAATTATTAGAGAATTGGAGTTTATTTTCATCATCATCGTATTACTAGCTAAAAGACGTTCACTACTGATCAAAGTCCTACCTCTTTTAAAAATATGTGTCTTGCAACGTTTAGTTTTATTTGCAGCCTAATTAGAGATCGTAGTTAAGTTACAAATAATTCAGAGGATGTTGCGACCCTCAGTGGTTGCAGTTTTTAGATAAACTCGTGACCTATATTCCGTTCAATTCAAGTATGTTTATTTGTTCCACTATCTGAAAATGACATGCAAGTAATTATAAAGTCAGATCTAATCACAGCACACACCTTGTTTCTGTTCAGCCGGTCTGTAGTAGTTGTCAACTGGTTGCTCTATAAAGTAGTCCAGTCTGTAAAAAAAAGACAGATTTTGTGTTTAATAGAGGTGAAACTATAACAGTTTTTATGTTATAACTTTCATAAGACATACTAAATTAATTATTTTGTTTTTCCGCTTACTCACATAATTATAGTAGCAGCGCGACAGTCATCGCGTCGCGGGTCGCAGAATGCTGCCTGTAATGAATATGAGCCTGTAGAATGGCTCGAAACTAGACGATTTCCTCGTCAAATAATTATGTGAGTAGGTCGAAAAATTAACAGACTTGTTGTCTTTGCTTGCAATAAATCAATTTTTCTTTTAATGAATTTCAGCCTTATTTATTTCAATTACAGGTTTTGTTGTATAAATGTTACGGAGTACATTTTGATGTCGATGCTACAAGTAAGGATATACTTACGGATTGAGTTGGTGCAGTCCTGCTTGCTGAGGGTATCGCTGTTGTGGCGGAGGAGGAGCGGCACTCACCACTGCGACTACTGCCGCTACCAGATACTGAAAACACGAGAATAATCACTTACTTTTGGTAATAAAGTCGTAGATAATATATTATTTACCAAACAAGGTAGAGTTATGTGATTAATCTGCCCCTAGATATTGTACCTTAAAGTATGAATCTTAAAGTATCTAATAGTGTGTATTGTGCAGAGTGATAATGTGTAATTTGATTACATATCAGTTTATTAGTTTTGGCAGTAGATCTACAAACAAAGTACCCAAATAAAACTAATCTATGACTTTACTTAAATACAATCCTACCAATCACGGAGACGGACGAGCTTTTCACATAGCAATGGGGTCATTACGAAATATCCCATCTTAAAATTCCGATAGAAAACGAAGGACATTTCAAATCACCTTGTTATCTCGGTTACATCTCGTTGGTAAACAATTACAATTCAGAGCAGGAGACTAGCCTTCGAGTAGGTCACAGTTCTGAGGCCAAGTTATTGCATTCATTTCATTTGAGGTTCGCGTCACTTGTGAAATTTGACTCATCAGTCATCACCATCAATGTATTTAGAATTTATAATTGTTATACTTTTCCTGTTTTGACGAGCAATGCTTTGTTTTCCTTAAAGTGCATTGGTGTCTTAAACATAGTTTATATTTTAACCGACTTCAATCAAAACAGTTATATGAATAACGTGTGACTCTTTAATAAAGTAGTTGCAAGATTCTGCTGAGAAAGGAGTACGGGTCCTGCTCAAAGATTCCCAGCTCGAAGTCTCGAATATTGTGGCTAGGCTATGGCTTGGGGCTCGCTGCCATTTCATTTTATAACATAAAAAAATATGTTGTGATTACTCTACAAAGGCTTTCGTCAAAATGTTTATGTTGATTCACGATGAAACTGGTTGGAATAATAGTCAAAAGTGTCCAAAGAAAGGTAACGGGCAGCTGCTGATAATATAATCCTTATAATATTATAAATCGGAAAGTGAGTTTGTTTGTTTGTTCCACTTTCACGCCGTAACTACTAAACCGATTACTTTGAAATTTTGCAGACGTAAAGTTAGAAGTTTGGATTAAATAATAGGGTAATTTTTATACTTTTACTTATACTTTTACCTTTTATCAATTTTTTCCCGGAAAAAATTGAATTATTCCCGAGGGCAAACAAAAGAATTGGTATAGATGGCGCTATGTGTATTGGGATATGTCACATAGGCTACTTTTTATCCTTTTGTGACGCGAGCGAAGCTGCGGGTAATAGCTAGTAACGATAATAAACGAAATTACGAAGTTTCTTATATTAAGTCCATTACGTAGTATTTTAGTTTATAAAGTATCCGAAGTTCCGCTAGTCAAATGATATAAATCATCTAGAAATCATATTATTTCCCTGTTTATTGCAGTGGAACAGTTAAATAATGTGTTACGGCTTACGAATAAATTCATTGTGCGTAACAGAATTACAGGCTCATTATAATATATCGATGTAACTGCATGTAAACTATCAGCCTGTCTGATGGATCATTAAGAATCAGTTTTTGTATAAAATATTGTAACATATGTCGAGGTTTATCGGAACATAAAAATAGGGCCTTTAGGTACATCGTCCATCTCTGCGTAATCACTCGACAAATAAACTCTTGAAACTCTTATGATAAGTTCAGTAAAGTTCTACTACATTCTTATTGAATTTGATTACTTCAGAGAAGAAACCCAAGAGGTCGGTAACTAGGTACCATTACCATATTAATGTGCTAGAGTTCTTTTAAACCTTATAGAAGTCTTCACGGCATAATAGTTAAGTTAATCTGACATAAGTACTCTGTTTACAAGCAATGCTAAGTCAATAAAATGCCTGTGTGGCATGTCAATCAGCTGATAATCGTGTATTTTTCTTTGTACCATCATTACATAAATCGTTAAAAATAAACAACACACAATCGATTAATTTTATCGATTAGCTAACACATTGCTTGTTCCGGAATAAGAGTAATGTTGTAATCTATTCGCATGTTTTAAGTTACGATAATTGGGTACTTGGTACTTGCCAACTAGCCAATTTTTCGAACTGTCAAAAACGACAGTTTTCTATGAATTTTGACGAGATTGCGTATGCTATATGTATTGTAACGTCACGTTTTTTAGCATTCAACAGCATACTCATTTTATAAAAAGTTGCTTGAAAAATACTAAAATTAAGTTGGTTATAAAATCAGTGAATGAAAGTGTCATTATTTTATTATATTTTATGGTATTGAACTATCGGAATAGTTTATTTTTTATTAAGGAAAGTACCCAATAGTGTTAAAATAAAATTAGTATTTGGACTCTGCATTTAATGTGCAATAGTTGAAGACAGAATTATGAAGAGAAGGCTTGTAGGTCATAAGCAATATTGTGACAATAATTATTGCATTAGGAATTCAATTTACGATATTATTAGATACTTATCGGAACTATAGCCTATCAGAAGACTCGTTATAATTGTTACAAATATTCTTCTGCAGTAACCTGGGTAAAATAACAAATAATATTGTGTCTTTAAGATGTTCAGAATCAAATTTTAATAATGACTATTGCAACTATGTCTGTTGAACCATCTAAGAGCTTCAATGCCATCAGTTCCCTGATCCTCCGTCACACAAGTTGTTTAGACCGCCACGTCATCTTTTAATGAAGTTCATTTTAATTACCATAGGTATTTGTACGAGTGCGCTCAGTTGCGGTAATCCGAATAATTACTGTTCATACATATTCAGCTCGTTTGTAAGTTAGTCTGATCTTTGTTTATTTTTCCCATTAATTGTTATTAATTGGTGTCGTATGCTTTATGATGTTCTAAAGGAATGACATCTTTGATTTAATGTATTTTATTTTAATTGAGTAGTAGGTACTCAATGAGTCCCACCTAGGTAGTAGGTAATATTGTTAAGTGTGTAATAATGATAGTTGAATTTTTTATTCAGACTTTAGACAATTTCGAAAAAGTCATTGCAAACCATCACTTGTGTATATCTATAATTTATTTCACAATTTACCGAGGAAATGCCTACAAGCGACTTCTAAGCATTAATTCCATATAAATCCACAATCAACTTAATTATTTAATTACGCTTTAAACTACCATTACTGCAATGGCAATGGCTATTTAATTTTACAGGAAACTACGGGAAATTAAACGCGACGTGCTTCTAAGATCATAATTCCTATGATCCAAACACCGGACACATCTCCAGCGTAATTTGAGTGCACGAAACGGAAGGAAGCCTGTTTGTAAGTAGCTGTCACATTAGTATGTGACAACCGTCCGTCTGTTGGGACCTTCACCTACTTACTATATCATCTACCCGTGGTCATTGCAATCGTAAACGGAATTTGTCACATACTGCCATGCCTATGTGATACGCCCTTGTTGATATTGGAACAAATCTAAAAAACATTTTGTTAACAAATATTGGACTTCCTTATCTGTACAAACATTAATGATACCTCTTTTGTCCTTTTGACATTTAGAATAAATCTGTTTTTTTTCTAATGAATAGAAACAAAACTGGCCGAAAATAAAACAAACTATTGGCACAGATGTCGTAAACGTAGCAAAGAGTTTTCGAAATTAAAAAAAAGTGTTTCCCAACTGCCAAATTTTTACTTTCTGATAAAAAGTAAATTTTCTATAGCTAGTTATTTTACTAACCATAACTTTAGTTTTATTCATAAAAAATAGGTATAATAAAATTAAATACGATAACAACAAATTTATTAGGTACCTACTGTCACACATTTTTATAAAAAAAAAACAGTCAATGACATTCCAATTTCAAATAAAAAAAAAAACTATTACATTTCTTTTTAGTTTCACTTCTATTTTCTATCCCTTTTTCTAAGCTAGCATTTATTTTGATATTGATTGGGAAACAAATTTTTATTGTTTTTTAGAACCCATAAAGGACTTTTAAAAATTAAAATTTATAGTAAAAAAGTGTACCTACACTATTTTTTTAATGAGATTTCTTAAATACTTACCTAATATTATAATTTCGTTCATGTGATATCTTGATACATTTTCCTACAAAATCTTGAACTTGATACATCAAAAAGTTTCCTGGAAGTTGTAACTTGACATAACATGTATTGTAGTGATAAAAATTCATACAAGCCAGTCGTATTGCCCTTGACCTTGGGGTCATAATTTCGTCTGAGTGACACATCAAGGGATCGTTAAACTTTTGTCCTACAGATTGTACTACCACTGGAAACTAAACAAGGTTGATACGTAAATTGTATTACAGCATTGTCTCAGATGGCTATTGTTTTGATAAAATTGTTGAGAGGTAGGTCAGTTCTTGTTTTTTGCGGACGACGCTTGGACGGCGTACACGTATGATGAGATATGAATATGGTAGAAACTAAAGGATTTTCTTTTTCAAGTAACTAATTCTTTTAACTGCTCAGAAGTTCGTATGATGGGACAGTGTGGTGTATTGTTCTCGATAAATAAATTACTCTTTTATCTTTATAAATAACCCATGAGATGAAGGCTTATGTGCTACTCCAGACAATTATCTACTCTTGTTCCAAATTTCATTTTAATCCCTTCAGCCGTTTTGATGTGAAAGAGGAACAAACACACACACACACACACACATACACACAAATAAATCCTAACAAACTTTCGCATTTATAATATAAAAGTATGATTTTGATGTAGATAATATTCATATGGGAACATTATGAGATTACCATCTTATACAGAGGTCTATAACATATGCCATACATGTTTCTGTTACTTCAAATTCGTCCTCTAAAACTAGATACATAAAACCTAACTAGTTCCATTCAATCAAGATAACTCTAACGTTTTTCCCTACACTAACACATGGGTCATAGTCTTGTGACATTATTACGAAAACAATGACACATTGGAAACTGTCACACGCACTTAAACATGAGGTATTTAAGTAAGCGTTTGAACGATTCCTTTTGCGACACTGTGTAATGCAAGTTGGAGTAATTTGGACGTAATTACGTATGGGGACGGTAAGGGACGCGCGTCGCTGAGCCTGCATGTACTAGGCTTTGATGACCTGCTTTTGAAGAGAATTTTTATCTTTAGTTTTCTAGGTAAATTGTTTAGTGTTGTGTTTGTGTAGAAGTTTATTTAAATATCTAGTTTCTGATGTCATAATCTTCGTCTGTTTGTCTGCTCTCTTGTCTAAGAGACGGGATTTGGAAGGAGGAGGAGGAGAAAGAAGACGCTAATGGCACTACATTAAAAATAATATATAATTAGCGTAAATAACGTAAGTAACCTTGAAACCTTAATTGTAATATGATTAAGGGAGATAGCGGTCAAACGTCAAAATAGAAAAGGAAATATTGTTTATTAAAAGGTAATGGGAATAGGTTCAGCATTTTCAATTATTTTTAGGATTAGTTACGTTGTCATGTAGACTAAACGAGGTATTATTTCTATTTAAAATTAGATAATATTGTTATCATTGTAGTATCAGCCAATATATTTGTTAGCGAATTTATCTACGATATCTTTGAACCGCCCACCGTGGCGTCGCGTCTGAAGAAGCCGGTTACAAATTTCAGCGAGGGCTTACATGAGCAGAGTGGCGCAGTGGAAGCGTGCTGGGCCCATAACCCAGAGGTCCGTGGATCGAAACCACGCTCTGCTAATAAAATTTTTGTTTCTATCTTTTTCATTTGAAACTATTTTATTTTTTTTAAAGTTGTTGATTTTCTTAATTGTAAACTTCAACTAAGGGAATTGTGTGATTATTTTTCAGTTTCTTGTCATTTTGGAACAGAAAAAGTCTCAGATTTTGGTCATTTTGTAACTGGAAAGCAGTCAATGGTTTTCCTTAGCTACGAAATCGGACTTAATAATTTATGTTTGGCAGATTTAAGTCTATGTCAATACTGAATCAGTAACAAAGTTGTAGCCTTCTATATATTTATTTCAAAGACTAGGAATATAACTTCTTATATTAAAGAAAAGAAGTACTTCCACTTCTAACGTTCATAATTAACGTGCGAGCAAAGGTTAATGACCTTATATATGTAATCTTAAACAAAAATATTATTCTTACTCAACTAAGCTTAAAGTTACCGTTAACTTAATGTTTCAGGCACTGAAACGTTTAGAAATCAAGTTTAATATTTCAATTGAAGTAAATAAATTAATATAAAAAGTAGTATTGAGTTAGTTTATGTGTAACGTTTAAAAAAAATTTTGTTCCACTAGTATAAATTTAATTTATTTTGTAAGAAACACAGATCATACAAACTTACCAAGATTTTCTAACTTTATTGAGGAAATAGTATTCTTATTTATCTAAAAAGTAATATAATAAAGTACCAACATTTCATCCCCGAAGGGGCAGAGACAAGTGCACATTGTGTCTAAGCTTAGTGAATAATTAAAAGCATAATGAAATCTAATTTATTTATTACATAACATCACGCCTTTTATCCCCGAAGGAGCAGGCAGGGGGGGCGTTTACGGCACTTAATGCCACTGTAAAAAGCAACACCCACTTTTCACTATTTATGTTATAAGTCTCATGTAATAAGGAGTGAGCCTATTGCCATTCACCGGGTCCAATTCTATACGCCGTGCTACGACTGACATTTTTTTCAAAATCCGGTAATAGTTTGCCCGACCCGGGAATCGAGCACGAGACCCCTTGCCCGGTATCCGCACTTGCGACCACTTGGCCAACGAGGCAGTCAATCAAATAAAGAACCTACTTGTAAATAAAAATACTGCTTCAGGTCACGATTGCATGTACCTACTTTAATTTTCATAGAACTTGTTGGCGTCTAAACAACTCTAATTGTATTACACCTTGTTTCCGTAAAAACAAAAGCGTTTTAATTGGTTTGTCAAATTCCAATCAGGAAGTTGATTCCACGGATGTTATACTAATTGCGAAGATGTTGATGTTCGAACGTTTATGTTGAAAAATCAATTGTTGTAGGCATTGAAAACATAAACTGTCAATTAAATACGTACATATAACATAACATAACATCACGCCTTTTATCCCCGAAGGGGTAAGCAGAGGCGCACATTATGCCACTACATTGTACACAATGTAACACCTACTTTTCACTATTTATGTGATGGGTCCCATGTAATAGGGGGTGAGCCTATTGCCATAGGACGTACATAGTGGTGTTGAATATGTATATTTTTTAATTATAATGTCGGAATAAAAAAGTTATTTAAAATGACGAACCCCTTTTTTATAGTCGAGTTATTACATAGAGGGACAAAAAATAAAAAAGAAATTGTCCAAATAAGACAAAATTTTTAAGTCGTAAATTGGTTAGGTAATTAATTTTCAGTAAGACTAAGGTAGAAAAAAGTTGAATGACCCTAGGAATAAATATTATAATTATATATACTATGAATAAGTATTATTTTAATGTATCGATATATTAAAACATTTTTTAAACTTATAATCTGTGGAAAATATATTATATACTGCTCTTTGCATAAAAGTATTATAATTTTCTACCTTGATATATAATGAAAGAAAAAAAAATAAAAAATAGACTTACGAAGTAAACAGCCATATTTCACTTGACGATTTGACCCGCGCACTATAATGTACTGTGTAACAATGCGCGTGCGCCGGTCAGCTCACACTTATATGAGACGTTCGGCTTGCGTGTACGACGCTATAGGGATAAATTATACGCCTAGTATTATGAACTGATCTACTAACTTTTCACATATAAAAACCCATATATTAGAATATTCAGTCATGTAGAAATTGGTTAAAAAATAACTTATAGATATTGTGCACTAATAAGGAATAGACGTAATGAGGTTTTCTAATTTTTTAAAAGGTAAAGTAAATCACTAATAGCAGTTGATTACTTAGTTTTTTTTAAGAATCACTGATTCGCTCTATTTGGTATATATTTTTTTGTATTTCTTTATTCAAAACAAAAATAGTGAGGTTCGTTTTAGTTTGCGTTCATATTTCAACTGAATGAGACGAGTTCTAAGCTCTTTCGGGCCAGCAACCTATGACAATAACTTTCTTAATATTCATAGCGAATCGATTTGTTGAAGTAAGTATTCAATATATTATTTTTAACTGTTTTCTGCTTGTGACATTGTATACGTAATAATCCCGTTTCCGAAAAAAATCAATATAGTCTCTTCGGCCATTCTTCTTCTTCTAGTCTTATCCCGAGTTATTTTGGGTAGTCACTTCGGTGTATATTTTTCCTTTTCTATGATGATAAGAATCGCTGACGAACGTCATCTAGCATGTCTGTTATTGTATTCTCAACGCCCCTCATAGATGCATAGGTAATGTTAGGAGTCCAAAGAAGACCACTTAATAGGATATGTGGTCTTCTTTGGTCTACTTCCGAAATTCCTGCTTTCTACGAAGTAAGAAGTATTTCTGGATATGCCTTATATATTGTACTCAGACATGAGTCACGGAAATGTTTTATACCCATTTGTTTCAAATGATTCTTCCGTTGTTAGCCGCTACAAGTGTAAGCTGAACATTCGATAGTAATTAACATCAACAATTAATTTTACTGTACAAAAATTGTGTATTACAAAGTACACATGTTTTCGTGCAAAATTATTCTATTGTAGAACAATGAAACTAGGTCATATTATGAAAAAAAGCTATGACAATATCACAATAGATAAAATATTTTCTCGTAATATTCATAAAGATGTTGATCTAAATAACTAATGCTGCCAATTGTGGATAGAACCAGTTCAATGACGACTTAGGTTGTAAAACTTGACATCTAGATGGAAAATCTAGGCTGAACTGATAAACTAACAAGCAGTTACAACATTATTCATAAGAAGGAAGTCATAAATAGGTTTTGTGTAAGAAAAGAGTGAAGTCCCAAGGTATTTTGAATTAACAATAGTGATCATCAGCATTGTCTACGAATAACCTTTAATATAACTACAGATTTTATTATAAGTGTTCAAAAATAAATACGATACTCTTAAATTATTATTTTTCGTATGTTATGGAGGTATCGTCAGCTCAACTCAGAAACGCTATTTAGGTTTCAGTTAGATTACCAAAATTTTCGGAATGCTGCTGCCTATCACTGGCATCTATAGGTGGCCTCTTGCTCTTTTAATTACTTGATTTATCATAAGACATACTTTGACTCTATTTGTTGCTAATTAGTAGTTAGTAGATGTTTATAAATCTCTACACGCCGAGAAAATACGGTCTATTTAATGTATAGCCAGTTGATTCATTGATTCACAATAGATCTTCATCACTACATTGACAGTGACTAGGAAACATTGATGTATTGAAAGATAAGTCAGCGATGACTGTTGACGAGTGATTAGATGCACAAACAAACAAACAACCGCCTTGGTGTCTCACTATGGTAGTTGGCAACATATCAAAATGATAAACTTGGGCAAATAAGTGTAGGAAGTTATGGCGAAGAAAATTATGATCATCCTTTACTAGCACATGTAAAAATAAAGATTTTCTTATGTTTGCATGAAATTACGAGATCGAAATTAACAGATTGGTTTAATTTAATCCATACCATGAAGTAATAAACCTGCTAATTGGTAAACAAATATTATTATAATTTTGGATGTGTCCACATCTGGCGGATGCTCTTCTCCCGTCTGGGTGTATCGGTAGGGAGTGTCAGACTCTTACTGACTAAACACCACACCGTTCCTACTCCTGCCTTTCAAACCGGAGCCCCGACAACCCGTTAAGTCCTCCGCGGCTCCATATCGGCATCAGCCCTATTGGATCCCATCCGTGGTGGTCTGATGGCTCTTTGAGTGCCTAACGCGAGGCTCCGCACGCTTGGGTCTGGTAGATTGCGAAGTGCATAATGATACGATTGATTATACTTACCTTAAGGTTTCATTACAGAAGACCAAATACAATACGATGGCGCTTGATAACAAACATCACAGTCGCATTGTTTTAATTAAACTGTCAAACACCAAGCGGTCACCGGTGACCGCAACCTATTGTTCTATAATTGTGTCTACAAAACCGGTACTCGACGAGTTAATATTGCTGTTCGTCATTGTTTTATAACAGTGTTATAAAAATTGTAATTATTTACAATTCTACAATTAGAAAGTTTAATTTTCATTCCGCGGTTATAAAATACCGAACACTCACCATTGTCCAGTCACCACAATTTTACAAGACATACAATTTTGTCTCATTAACATAAAGTTTCATTTATCGTAATGACATAATATTGTGTCGGCGACCCAAAACTGTACTGACAATGCAAACGACATATTTCTTTCTTTGCCGGACATTGAATGGAAATTATGTAAAACCTTATTTTGTGGTGTAACAAATAATGGGAGTTGTAACAACTGTCCACGTGGAAGTAATCCCTTTGTGAAATTTTAACACGGTTTTGTAAAATGGCCTTAGAAGATAGTATAGAGCGACATCTTGTGTTAAATACTTTTGGAGAAACCATAAGTTCATTTAAGCTAAGAATATTAAGATATAGACAAATACGGCTTGTTGTTTTTAATATTCTGGTATTAATTTTTAGTCTGGTGTTATCATTCATAAGACAATTAAATGTATAAAGTGTATTTGTTTGTTTTTGTTTCATTCAAGTCACAATGGAGCGTTCTCATAACATGATGTTTGTCTTTAGACATAGTTTAGATGTTGGTAGTGATACAGGGCAAATTATTTTGTTGACTAATTATGACTGCCTCATTGGCCGAGAGGTCGCAAGTGCGAATGCCGGGCAAGGTGTCTCAGATTCGATTACCGGGTCTGGCAAATTATTACTGGGTTTTTCAGTAGCACGGAATCTGGAAATGTGACATGAGACTCATAAGATAAATAGTGAAAAGTAGGTGTTACATTGTACAGTGGCATTAAGTGCAGTAATGCGCACCTTTGCCTATCCCTTCGGGGGTAAAAGGCGTGATGTTATGTATGTGTATTTCGTTGATAACACAGGTAAAGCTGTGGTTAAAAAATTATTGATTTATAAAACCATGGTTTATAAAATTATAAAAATTTATTTATTTAAACGTTGTTCCCAGAATCGTCTTGCAAGTCAGTGTTCCCTTGAACTTCTACAGTTGACTCAGTAAGTTTGGTGAGGAGTTTATATTTTTATTTACTTTGCGGTTGTCAACCTTGTTCCCGTAAAGTATATTCCATTGTATGTTTCGTGTGTACGAAGTGACGTGATAGGTATTTGCGTCAGGATCTGTTTGACCTGAATCAATTTGGCTTACTGAGGATTTACATACATATTTGTTTTTAGTAAAGGTTCTATGTTAAATAAAAGGTGTTGTTGGTGGCAATGAAAAATAATATAAAGTTATAGATATGCACGGAAAGACATTATAATTATTTATCTTGACCACGAAACAGAACAGTTAGAAATACAGTGATTCTATGGAATGCGCTACCCACGGAGATCAGGATGGCGACTAGTCGTTTATCTTTCAAAACCAAGGTATTTACTGAAAAAAATTGACGGATTCGATTCAAACACAAGTTATCTTTTTATGTTGTTTATTTTTACTTGGATATGTATGTCATATAATATATATCATACAATAGTATAATAGTATAAAACCATCTTTGAACTTCAACGAATATTTAAAAAAAAATTGGCCAAATCGATTTCGCCCTTCTCAACCTATGGCGTAAAAACAGGAAACCAGTTTTATTTTTGTACATTATAAGATTAATATTTACTTAGTCATCTGCCACTTTCATCTTAGCTCCACCTAAAATAGAAATAGAAAAATTTATTCAGCACCAGGCACGATGCAGCAAAAAAAATAAATAAAAAATAGTTGGTCGCATTATGAAAGATTAATCTTGTACACAATTATAGTAAGTATAAATGACAAAGTTATATCTTAGTTCGAGTAAATTATGTAAAATCGTCTATTTACAATCAATGGAGTAGGTAAAAAGTGTATCATACTACGTATAATATGTTTATGCGTACACATCTAGCCATATGAAAATGCAAATAGGTACTACACGTGGTATCGGTAATAGTTTGAGCAGATAAACACCTTGTTAATTCACTTTACTACGCACTAAAATATTAAAGGTGGGTTTTGAAATTATTAAAGCATGGGTAAGAATGTAAGTGTACCTAGGTGTTGGAAACTGTCTATTACTTACAGTTTCCAACAGTACTACTACTACTACTAGAACTATTAAGTATTGGTATTATTTTGTTTTTCATGGGATAAGCCGAGAAACGAGCAGACGGATCACCTGTTGGGGCAAGCCGTTGCGTTACCAGCCTTTTGAGGATTAGATATTTGAAGATTGTTGGGGATTCAGAGATTGGGCAGGGGAGGGGAGCGCAATTGGGCCTCCGGTAACCTAACTCAAACGACGAAACACAACGCAAGCGTTGTTTCACGTTAGTTTTCTGTGAGGCCATATCCATCCAGCCATGTGAGGTGATATCATTCCGGTTGAGCCTGTCCATTCGTCTCAAAACATGGTTTTCCCACACTTAATTTCTGTGTTATTTATTTTACTTTCTTGGCTAGATTTGAAAACGATTGTTAAGTTTTCGTAGTTATGTCTGATTCACTTCTTTCGAATCTCTATGCATTTTTTGCACAGGCAAGAAAATTTAGATTAAAAACGTAGGTACATATATTTTGTAATAACTAGTTTCCGCCAGCGGCTTCGCCCGTCCCCGTGTGATAAAAAGTGGCTTATGTGTTATAACATGCCATACCCTTGTTCCAAATTTTGATCCCGATCCCTTCATCTGTTTTGACGTGAAGGCGTAACAAACAAACATAAAATCTTTCGAATTTATAATATTAGTAAGATTTTATAAGCAGTTTTATAAAAAAATCACTTCAAGCTTACAAAATATGTCAATTTTCGATAATCATGTGGCCAAGCGTTGTATCTTTACCTATACCAAAAAATGCAATAAGCAGGCTACAGTCAGATTAGGATCGCATTAGTAATTCAATTTTTAGAAATTCAAATGCATATTGTTCGTTACAGGGATTTCCTACATGACTCGTGTTAAAGTTGATTCATTCCGTACTTATTCACATATTTTATTGCTTGTATGCAAATTGTTTCCTTATGGAGATTTTCCCTTTACTTACAAAGAAAGTAATTTTTGTAAAATGGGGTGAATATCCCTCTTCCTTCTCTATTCACCCCGTTATACCGTTAACAAATTTTTTGGTGTTGATTATGGTATAAGCTGGTAAACGAGCAGATGGATCACCTGATGGTAAGCAATCGGCGGCACCCATGGACACCTAGAACACCAGAGGCGTTACAAGTGCGTCACCGTCTTTTTAGGGATTAGGAGTTTGAGGATCGTTGGGGATTCAGGGATTGGGGAGATTGGGGAAGGGGAAGGTAATTGGGCCTCCGGTAACCTCACTCACACGACGAAACACAACGCAAGCGTTGTTTACGTCGGATTTCTGTGAGGCCGTGGTATCTCTGCGGTCGAGCCGGCCCATTCGTGCCGAAGCATGGCTCTCTCATACTTAAATCTGATCTTGATTTTATAGAATGGGATAGATTTTCTTGCTTCAGAGTCAGTCAAGTAAGACAATGTACATATAATTGTATGAAGCCTCTGTACTAACACTACTGTAATGCCATAAGCCAATGGATGTGGCTAATGTACTGAAGGAAGGCCTACTTTCTACTGCAGTGGATATCTTGTGACTGTTAAGATGATGATTTTAAATGATTCATAATAATTAAAACAACAGGGATTTTTAACATTTTATTCGATTTATTTGTCTAAATAAATAATAAATACATTTTCGTCTTTGAAAGACATTTTATCACACTCTTTCACACAATTTCTCACTTAATAAACGCTTAAATGTACTCGTTCTGATCAAATATTGGTTGTATTGCGTAGTTTTATAAATTGTAGCAAGTATTCTATTTCCATTACATTAGTTGATATTTTATTACGAGTATTTAGTCTAGCAGTGACTATTAATACAATATTTTTAAAACATTGAAGCACTTAAGTTTTTATATAATTGCTAGTTCTATTCGGTAACTACTGATTATCGATATTGTTTTAATAGGCTCACGTAGATAAGGATCTAAGTTTACTTCAAGTCTCACTGGTTTCCTAAAGTAAACTAACTTTATTATTTCTTTATGTTTAACACAATACCTAATCGTCATGCCTATTATTTATATTGAAAAGCTAAACTTATACACACATACCTACAATGTTTATACCGACTATACTAAGGTAAAGCGTGAAAGGACACATTCGAGTCTGTTACCAGACACAAGCTACTGATGAATGTTTGAATTCGTCTGTAAGGAAAGGTAATTTTACACATACTTTAAAATAGCATGCTAAAAGGAAGGAAAAAAAATCGAACGCCTGTCGATTCGCAAATATGCCTGAAATGAGCATGGAACATTCCGAGATATATGCTAATAAGTCACAAGTGCTCAATTAAATTGAAGAATGCTTCGTACTTGAAATTGGCATGTGCCTTTACTTTATAATCGATTAAAATGTGTTTGGTATTAACACTAACTAGAAAAAAAAGTGTCTACGTTTGCGCAGCGCCTAAAGAAGAGATCTATTGTAAATACACCATTAACTACTTACAAATAATAGGCACAACATGACTATAAGTTAGTTAAACTTAATTAAACTCAGTTCCTCGAATGGTTGACCTGGAAATTAATGCCCAAAGCTGTTGGGTCAACTCCAGCTACAGCTGTAGCTATAGGTCTAGCTAGTGCTACTCCAGAAGCTGCTACTGCTGTAGCAAGGGGTCTGGAAGCTGCTAGACCATGCTCTCCAATAACGGCAAGACCTGGAATAAATAAAATATTATATTAATTTTATTTTTACGTTATATAATTCAAAATGATAGTCGTAAAAAAAAATTGTGGTCTCAATGTGTGTATCTTTATTTGGTCTTTCGGAGTTGAGACAGTTAAACATGAAACAATTATAAAGATATGAGTGTTTTATAAGCGATTATCAAGCATCAGCTAGTTGTTTTTTGTAAAGCCCTGATTATTAAACATTACACATCGTGGCTTTGTAAGACATACGAGTAGCGACATCTCACGATCAATTGTGTAACCAGTAACTCTATATCGGCTAAGCCTTATTACTCGTATTCGCCTTCGCCTGTCGTAGCGGTATAGTTAGTTTTAACATTTTCCGTTGGCAGCACCGTCAGTTCTTACTGAGGTATAATTATAGTCAAAAGTTATGATAACTTACCAACTGGTTTGGCTTCAGCTATGGTTCCCTTATTAAGAAAACCATCACCGTCATTGGAATCTTCATCATCTGCAGAGTCAATGCCAACCCCTTCTTCAGCAACCTGAAAATTGAACGGTGTTTTAAAGTTAAATTAGGTGTATATTGATTGACATCAGTTTTGTTTTTATATAAAAATACTAAATAGGTCATGTGTGCAAGTGCTACTTAACAAGTTTTCAAAGAAACAGTGACTACCTATTTAAACAATAATAATTAATTAATCTACTGTTTCTGGCTATGACACTTATAGGGTAACATATCAGTTGATAATTAATTATGTTTGGTAACAAATTGCTTGTGACTAGTATCGAAAACAGAGATAGATGACTAAATATTTATATATTTTGGTGTTTTCAACATAAAATACTTACGTAATCATCGTCCTCATCGTCATCTCTAGCTTTCACAGTGGTATTTTTCTTGAACAACATATTGACGTCATCCACTTCTTCTATCAGCTTAATCATGTTTGAAGCAGCTTCGCCCAGCGATGCCAGCTGAGTCTTATACCTTGCTTTTTCCACGTTCCCTAAGGTACCAGTTTTCCGTCCAAGGTTATGCAGTTTGAGCAGATTTGTTGAAAGTGTTCTAAGGTTTTGTAAATTCGCCGCCATAACCTTTGCTAGCAGATTCTCATTGCTATTATTTTTTAGTATGTTTTCACTGCTGATGTTTTCTTCAGAAACTATTTTCTCCCCAGTTATTCTACCCAGGTTGTCTTTCTTTATTTCTAAGTATTGCCCCTTGGCGCCGCCGTAGAATGGCACATATTGTACCGATGCGCTATAAAGGATAAACGAGAACTTATCAAGTGTGATTCTAAAAAAATCAGGGATCTGTGATTTTTTATTAAATTTTAAAGGTGTGTCTAGACTTGTCCATATTATTTAAAACAGTGATAATGATCTGTAATTGTAGTATGCCCTATCCTAACAGTACAGGATATTAAACAGATTGTGGGTGTAAATATCAGGATATCGTATGATGCCTTATTTGTCTAATTCTTCGATTTGCGTGAGCGTCACCGTTATTTTATGCATCATAGGTATAATCTGTTAAGGCTAGTGACCTATTGTAAGAATGTTTGAATTAAATTATTTTGTGGCATTGAACTTTATTATTCATAATATTTATCTTTTAAACTATGCATAACAATAGTCTGCTTTTTAAATGACTGAGTTCAGCAATCTATTTTGAAATGGTAACAAAATACATGAACAACAAATTTTACTCGCGATACATTTGTTCAAGCTTTATAAATGTCTTTAATTAACAACATATCAATATCATTTTAATTGGCCTTGACCCAAACGACAGAAGAGAAATAAAACAAAATACTTTAATTATATGTAAATTTATTTCACTATCACCATTTACATAAATCTTTTCAAGGTACAATCAATTCGGAAATCAATTTTAAGTTTACAGTCAAAATAAATTTCCGATCAGTTCAAATCGAAACAATTTATTGTTACTACTTCTACTTCTTAGTTAGTACACCATTATCGTTGGTTAACAAATTCATAAAGATAAAGATCTGATTGCGCGTGAGCCACGCCACCAGGGCCTGCAACTGCAGTGGCTAAAGGTGCATGGAGTATAGTACCACTCTGGTTCCTTGCAATCACAACTTGGGAGATGGGATTTGCCAAGGCAGTGCCTTGAGAATTCAAAGCGTGAGCAATCGGTTTTATAAATAACATGAACGTCGTATCTTCCATGTTCAAGGGCACTTCTTGAAAATCCATGCCATTGTATATGTACTGATCTGAACTCTTCATTTCTCTGCTCCATTGTCCGTCTCTTCGCCATCCTCGTCCGTAGTATCTAATGAGTGAGAAAGAGAACAGTTAATGAGAAGGAAGACTTGAAAAATGATTGGGTTAGTAGAAAATGACTATCGTTTGTTAGGATGGTAATAAATAATAGGGCCAGTAGCTACAATTTTCCCTTCAGGTATAGCTTGTAATAATTGGGAAATAGAACCGTCTATTTTACTTTGTGCTTGCAGACGATGTGCTATGGCAGTGAGATCAGCATCAGGCGACAATGCTACAATTCGAGCTGCCGGTCCGGCTACAGCAAGTCCTCCTGGTTGGGTATAGGCTAGACCTCCAGGGCCCACAATTGCAGTTCCTCCTCTTCCAGCAGTTGCCACTCCTCCTGGACCAGCTATAGCAACTCCGCCTCGCCTCACTTTTAATCTATTGATGAAAAAACCCGGCCCAGTTGGTTGTCTGTATCCATTTTTGTTTCCGAAAAAATCTAAGAAGCCAAATCGAACGTCTCCGTCATCTTGATTGACAGTTTTAGTGTCTTGTGTAACAGGTTCCCGTTTAGGAGGCTTAGCAGTTGTTGAAGATGGTTTTACGCCGAAGAATTTATTTAATTTAGCTGAATCAATATCTTGTAATTGACTTCCTTGAGCAACAGTACGTTTCTTAACTGCCCTTTTTTGTCTTGACCTTAAATTGGTTTTTGAGTTTGTAATAATGTCCGAAGGTTTTTCAGCATCATCTTTAGTTTTAACAACGTCTTCTATCATTGTTTCAGTTGATTTTTGTCTTCTACATACATCGGCATTTTGCCCATACTCAATAAAGTTGTTCCACCCTCCACCGTTCATGATACTAAGTAATGGATCTCGTATTAGAATAGGAAACAAAGGTGCAAAAGGCCACTGAAATGGTGGCAGTGATGGAAAAGATGGAAATGGTGAAGGTGACGGTGATGGACCTTCTTTAGTTTGGATTTTTGTCGCATACTCTGTAGGGTTAATATTGTTTCCGTACATAGTATTCATAGACGGCATAACAAGAACAGGCATATTCATTATGTATGCGCCGGGCATAACTGCCATCTGTGCTGGATTTCCACCGTACAACGATGCCAGCTGTCTGGAATATCTTGTGTCGTCTAACTCTTCGTTACTGATTATGTTACTCTCTTGTTGTACATGGTTAGCATGATTCAATTTTCCAGAAGCAATAACTTGCTGGAGTTTTTCTAGAACTTCTTTGTCAAGGACGTATTCTCCTCCTGATTGAGGTGGAGCATTCCATTGAAATTGATGTTTTCTGACTGGTTTCTTCAGAGCATCATTTATAGCTTTTATCTTTTCTAGTATATCTTTGGTAACATCTTCGTTTTCTGTATTAGTTACATCATAAGCTAATGATCTTTCTCGTTCTGCAGCTTTGTTTGTTAATTCTTTGTTACTTGTCGCCAATCTGAAATGTACATCATATTTTCTGTATATTCGAATGCATTTTAAAATATTTGCTTTACCATTATCCATAAGCATTATTGTTTTAGCGTGTAAATCATTAAGCGGTGTCGAAGCTTGTAATATAGTTTAAGTGGACCATACCTGAACTACTGCAGATCCCGTGTTGATTTTCACTAATATTCTAAGCAAACTACGATTTATGTTAGTTGTGCTGTTTCTATATAAATGTGCGTTTCTACTGTCTTCACACGACCGTTAATATTTTAAATTGAACCGTACCGGATTTAAGTATTTTTGTATTCTAAATACGATTAAAATAAAATGAAACTGACATCATTGTACGTCTACAACCAGAACATTATCATATAAATAATTCAGGAATGATACACTTCTTAAACATGCCGTTTTTAATAAAATTTTGTATATTATTATTTGGTAAATGAAGTCAAGGAATGTTTATATTCCAACTGAGTGAAACGAAAATGAATATGATGATGATACCATGATAATACCAACGGTGACAACGAAATCAGTTTCAAACATTAATTTAATGATAGATTAGTTTGTGTCATGTGTCATAATTACAGTTGTTTTAAACTTAACGTTAAACCGGTTTAATTTTTATCTACATCTACCATGATTATTCTAGGTGGTTATTTTGTTTAAAATAAGACTTACTCGTTGTTTGAAGGCCTCGACGATACTTCCAGGCAGGAACACGCAAGGAGCACCTGAAATAACGAATTTTTAATTTAAAAGGCGATAAAAATGAATTTATTAGTTCAGGAGAACAATAATAGGCGTAGAGTTATGAACGAAACACTAATTTCAATAGTTTAGTATAAAACTTAAGTATCAGAACATCAGCAATTTTTTATTTGTCAACATCAATAAATTAGCATTAATTAGCCCTGTTTTGTGTCATCTCCGATTAGGATACACTTTCTAGAGAAAGCCATACCATAAACGATTCCGTAAGAAGAATTGAATAATTAACCCTACTACGTCATTAGCTAAATCAACATAAAATGCTCACTGATATTAAAATGAATGGATAATTTTAACGATAAGCATGGTAGCATGTATCTGTCTCCAAAAGAAGTTTTTCTAATCTAGACTAAAAGAAAGTGAAACGGTTTAAGATCGAGGTGAAACTCGGCGTCCGGTGCCGCTTGAGCACCTACCGGTTTAAATGTATCTACGAACAATTGTATAGCAGATTTTTTATGACAACACGTTTGCCTTGCAATGTTAGTAAGTTTAAAGGGCTTGGAACTTTGAATAGTTCTGGTGTCTAGTCTGGAGATGGCAATGCACAAAGTGTTGATTAGGAGATATATATTTTTATACCTACAAGTCTATCGTTGACAATATATATGCTAATAGTGTAACTGAAAAATTGTATTGTGAAACTCATTGGAAAAGAGTAACCTATGGAGTTTCTTGCTCGTTCTTCTCCAGAGGAATCTACACCTTGGAATGAGCAAATAGCTTCACCTTTTAATTTCTATTGCTGACGTTCAAAAGTGCCTTCCTGGTCTAATTGAAATAAATGATTTTGACTTTGACTTTGTGTTTAAAATAATCTTTGTGACTCTAATATTATTATTTCTGTAGTAGTACTTCTCAGATCAAAGCTAACACGAATTGGACAATAACAACAGTGAATCACCGTTGGATATAAAATTTTACGATCTTAAGGAAAACTTTACCGAAACAATATTTAAATTATAACGGATAACGCATCGATACAGGTAACTGTGTCAAATGTTGATACTGTTTTGGCGTTTGCCATGAGAAAGGCTAGGTCAAGATGAGAGCGGAGAAGTACAAACATAGAGCTTGTAGTCTTGGTGCTACCGTGACGTGTTAGCAAATAAGTGACATGCAAATCAGCTGTAGCATAGAATTCATGGACTGGACACAAAATAATGAAATATACTACATGGCATACCTGGCATTGTCAACCTTAGGATTTAAGTATCTATTCTAATTCTACCTTTGTTTTCATAATCTTAATCTCATGCAATATTATGGTGTTCAATATAATCTATTTTGCTATAGAGAATTTTCTAGTAGGTATATTATATTGTGGATTTTGTTTATATGTATCGGTGTATATTATACGCTTCACGCTATCGCTACAACCTCACCTTATTTGAAATGACGGTCACCTAAGAAGGCAATTACTGGGTCACGTACATCGTTGTGTAGGTATTTGGCAGTAGTCCCGTTAGCTTTACTTATTTGTACATATTGCCAATTGGTGGTTAGGTGCAAAAAATTAGACCGCTAACGTTCTACGACTGGTGTCTGCCTGTTACAAGTGCTTTCTTCTATATGTGTGAGAGATTGATGTGTTGACGTTGTAATTGCCAGTGTCTTTGTGTTTGGGCATTCTGTCTGTATGTCAGGCATTATAATTATAAGGTTCATTAACACTGCGGTTTGGAATTAGAATTTTATAGATGTCAGTGAACTCAGAAACTTTTTTAATGTGTCGTAAACATCATTAGACCTGATCTAAAAAAAAATTCTTTAGTTTTTTTTTTAGTGAGACAATAGTCACACCGTTTCCATAGAACATCTACTTGTAGATAAAATATTTGCTTTTCCATACGGTTGGTGTGTTGAAACACTTAACATAATATCCTATACTTCATTTCTATCATAGTTGCTTTGTTAGAAACTCCACTTTCATACATTTAAGGGCAAGGTCATACTGATCTTGCATTCAAACAAGAGCTTATCTATTTAACATCACATATTCATCTACACGTAGCCTTATATGGAACATAGGTAAAGTTAATATTATCTTCACAGTAAAATCTTTTGGAAGTATCTTCCAAGAAGCGTTCTTGGTAATATACGATATGGATTCTGAGTTTTGAACTAAGTTTAATGAACTTTGGTCTTTATGAACGTAGCGACAACGTGCTAATTCTCTTAAACAGTTAGTGTCTGAAAGTCTGTAACATTCTTACACCTATCATGAAAACGTTTCAAGTGAAATCATGAGATAAATATAGTAACAATATTGAAGTAGAAAACAACAATGAGAATTTTCTTTTACCATAATTAGTAAAAGAGAAACGAAACGAATATGGTTATGAACAATGACCAGAGGTAGTAAAATACACTTTTTTATTGTTCAAAGAACTTATAGAAAGAAGTGAAACCAAATGTCGCCATGTTACTTAGAAGGCTCTAACAAACAAAAGAGGTTTTAACATAATAGTCTGAACTTAGTTCCGGCTGACTCTAAAGGGCAGATCGGTCATATCTGCACTTGAATACCAATTTGGTAGCTAATCTTAAATCTCGGCGTGTCTATCTTAATCGTTTGTCTATCTTAATTGTTTTATTGTGTGACTAGCTTTATTTGTGTAATATTTTTATAGAGATTTGAACACTAGGCCATTTGGTACAAAACATTAAAGTTAAAATAATAAGGCTCTTTCATCGTTCAATTTGTAGTAAATAAACATCATTCGTTAATTTAAATAAATGAAGTATTTAATTATCATCTTGTAATACATTTTAAAAACATGTAGTACCAATTTAGTTACACATTAAACTAAGATATAAAAGTCTCATTAAAAAAGGTCTGAATTAATCTCAAGTTTCTCATTTAAATTATAAATTTTCCATTGAATCATATAGAAGGGACACGCAACAAATATGAACCCTTTATTTAGACACTAAAAATAATTTACAAAGGATAAATCGTGCATTGATAATCAAATATTAAATTAATATCTACACGATAATAAATATGGCCGGCGTGTAAACACAGTCACAATAAATAAAATAAGACTTGCGTGCAAAAAACATCGTTAATATTAGTTGCAGAATTGATTTGACAATAGTGAAAGTATTGATAAAATTCGCCCATTACACTTTTATACTGATCTGAATATAAAATGTTGTTTTGTTTTTATTATGCGTAGAAAACATTCAATATGCATAAATAAGCAATATTGGTCACGGCCTTTGTGAACCCTAAGTCAGATTTATGATTTGATGTATTTTAGTTGCGTGTTTCAGCTTCAACAATTGTATAGAATTAGTGAATGGGTGTATGTGTGGAGTTATATCGTACTTGTATTGATAACTTGATTAGGAATAATTCATTTATGTAGGTAGTATATATCTAAGTACGATGAAAGTTTAATATAGATAGAGAAGTTTAATAAACATAGGTTTGAAGTATGGGAGAGCTATGCTTCGGCACGAGCGGGCCGGCTCGACCAGAGTGATACCACGGCCTCACCGAAAACCGACGTGAAACAACGCTTGCTTTGTATTTCGTCGTGTGAGTGAGTGACCAATTATCCCCTCTCCCCAGTTTCCCCAATCCTCAAAATCCCAATTCTCTAAAGGCCGGTAACGCACTGGTAACGCCTGGTAGGTAGTATGTTTTTGTAAAATTGTCATATTTGGGAGTTTTCTCAACATTTTTTGGAACAATTTATTAAATAGTAACAATATTTCCAATGACGTTTCTTTAAAAAGTAAAAGTGACATTTTTAACATTTCCTTTAAAAACAAGTTGCGTTGGAGTTGAAAGTTGGAAATTATGTTTGTCAGTAAAGAGGGCAATGTCTATGCACGCAATGTTTGTTATAATTTAAGTTAAAGAGTGTAAGTCAAGTTATGATTCTGTGAGATAATATAGAAAGTGATATTTTTGTATAGCGCTCTGGTAACTTTTCTTACTTTCTTAGTAAACTAAGAGGGTTTTTATTCGTCGTACTCGCTTTTTCTTAAACTTGGGAAGTAGCAAAGGTTACATACGGTCGTATCCAGACGGAGATGAGCCTCAAACTGTGTTTTTAATTTCATTTTTAGGAGAATTAAGCCTATCTGAAAATGTAGAGTGTTTCAGTAATCTGCCTGATTTAATTCAAATTAAAAGTAACATAGTGTTCACGTGCTAAAAAACCTTACATTCCTTATTTGGAGACATCGCCTAAAAAGTGAAGAGGTCAAATCTTTTGCGCATTGTTTACAACGAATGTCAATGAACTCAACAAACACTAATTTGGCCTAAAACAAAGGCAAATTCTGTGTAAAAGAGTCTACGTATGCATACAAGTTTGTTTTAGCTTAATGGCTTATGTAAGTAAAGAGGTTTTTGTTAAGAGGTTGCTTAAAAGGTTAGGTAGTATGAAATGAAATCGTAGAAGTCACGATCTTTCTAAATATTTTTGATAGTTTTGTTTGGTTCTTTATTCCGGGACATTATTTAAACGTTTTTGACAAAAAAATAGATTTTAAGAATTACTCTGCAAGTAGGAGAAGCCTATGTCCTGCAGTGGACGAGAACTTGCTGTTGATGTTGATGATGATGATGATGATGAATTACTTACTGCCATACTCAGAGAATGATTACTTAAACTATTCCTTAGTAACGATTTTGTTCCTAAAACAATAATTGCTAAACATTGGGTTAGGTCTGAATACAAATGAAAGGCTACTGAATTTTAAGTTAAAATATCTCTGTCAATTTACAAGGAATCTGTACCTGGTCTAAGTGACAGAACTACATTTAAGTGCGACTTTAAATTGAGTGACTTTTGAGTAATTCAGCGTTAATTATATGTAACTAATAAATCACCTAGTATGACAGTATGTTATGCAGTAACATTGTATTATGATCTTTATCTAATGAAATATAGATACCAGAACATTTTGGTACCAGTTTTGTTCTGACTAAATATTGTATGATATAGATTTTATTATTTGTGGCGGCACATGACACATTGACAAATGACAGAAGTTAAATGACGTGCATAGACGATCGACGAACATATCAATATAACAACACAAATCCTACATCGCACATGTGCAGTTTACATGTAAATAATCATAAATAGAAAATCTCAACAGTTGGGCAGAAAGCCTGCCAGACACACTAACCTCGCCTGATCAGATGATCCTCCTTATCCAATCTTAGGGAACTCTACTTCCTGCTCCATAAGTCCCATAACCAATTAAGCGAGCGAGACAATCACTTGAACTAGGCATACATTCAATTCCATCTCTGGTTTGGTTTAAAAATCCCCAATATAAACCAATTAAATGTATTTACTAGGTACCTAGATAAAATATCAACATGTAGTCACGACTCGCGACATTTTCGAACGTGAAGTACAAAAATAGAAATAGTTCATGCGACATTGACTATTAAGTGCATTAAGCTGATCATGTTTTAGTAACCCGTTCCGTTTATTAACAATCTTGAAGTAAACGACAAGAAGACTGACATGTACAATCGATTCTCTATACGTCCTTATTAGTGTTTTGATAAGGTAATGCTCATCTCTTAAATATTTTTTTTTGTGATAATTTATTTATTGATATACTATTAATAGTATGTAGTATGTGTGTATGTATTTACTTTAGTGCTGTGGGGCCCAAGTGCACATCTTCTTTACAAATATAGGTATTGTAAAGAGGATGGTCGGGTCATCGAAGGGCTGGCTACTACCTCGATCAAAGGTTAAGCATTATGCCATCCAACGTGGCAATGCTGCCAGCCTTTTGGGCACATTACCTCATGATAATGAGGAAGAAAATTTTTTTAATGCGCTATATTAGTTTTTCTTTCATTTCTTCTATATTCCTCATGTTAATTTTACTTGTAAATACTTTAGTTTTTATTTAACTTAGCTCTAGCTATTTATTATTTAGCTTATATTTATATATAGATTAGTTTACATTACATACTATTAGTACCTAAATATTTAATTAATTATGTATTCCATATGAACCAAATTGTTCTTTAGTACCTAAGGGATATTATACAATTTTGAATGAGAACAAGCGATCAGTTTTCCTATATAAAATTAAACGTATTGTATGTTGATTTGCCGAAAAACTATAGTAACTAGAACATATATGTAACTTAATTATTATGCACTAGGTATCGTTAGTTATTGGGTAGATACTAAAAATAACATTATAAAATATGTTAATCTTAGTTTGTGGGAACAAAAGCTGGTATTGGATTTAGTTCTTGTTATTTTGAGACAACCTCTGATGACTACTAATTTAGTATTAACAGAATACAGGTGTTATTGCGCAAGTGTGCAATTCTTATTTTAATGGCTAACTTACATTGCGTTACATATTTATATCACAGAAAATTTTGATTGCATTGATAGGTAATTTCCTTTTCAGAGACTAATATAACGACTTTTTAATATATTTATTCTTATAGTCATATCTCAAGATCTTTTTAAAAGAAATCTATGCCCACGAAGGGGATTCTTAACAAAGAGATTTATTATAAAAAAATAGGATATCGCGGGTCACAGAATTATTCAGTTTAAATTAAATATTCATTTATATTTATAATTATACTTAGTTACAACTACAATGTAATTAAATTCCAATGAAGACCTTAGTTTGTTAATGGGTAAAACGGTCAAGCGTAAGTTTTGTATGTTAACAAATTTTGTTGAACTTGAATGGCGTCAAGCGTACGAGCTGGTGACAAGTGTGGACCGTTACAGAAGGCTGATAATTTTTTTATACTTAATCACTTTTAGGCTTATAGTAGAAATTGACTTGTTTTTTATACTGTTTTCGCAAATTGATGAGTAGATATGTATGGTTCCACTAATAAGCACTGTTAGCAATGGTTACTTAGATACTCTAAGGTTAGTTCGGACTACGTGTTAAATAGATAAATACTTTTTTAAGCATGAGGCTATGCAACTATTACTTAAAATCTTATGTTTAACTAAAACGCAGGCTTTTGTTAACGATAAATCATTTTGTCAATTTATAAAATATTTCTATATTATTCGTAAATATGTTGGAACTTACCGCAATTCCAAAAAGATAGGGCCGCGTCATCTTTCCAATTAAAAATATCGATGAAACACTGTTTCCAAATTATTGTGTGTCGGTATTTAAAAATATTCAAATATGGAACACGTGCGGTCACTCGCGCTGTCCACTGGCGAGTTCGAAGCTTCAACCGAGCCGCCAGCTTTTTGCTCACTGTCGAAAATGAATTTACCACGAGTCTACATCTCGATAGTAAAATATTCATTCAAATGTTCGAGTTACATTTACATTTTGATTTTTATGAACGACATTGTTTTAGGAGTAGGTGTCTATCCTTATTTTAAAGAAATTGAACATTATTTTGCCTATTTTCACACTATTCACTCATGCTATTACATTTTATTTAGGTATCATTTATCATCTATCATTAAAAATGCAGTGGAGTAGTGTGTTTATAAGTTTCAACTGTAATAACTTATTATTAATAAATATTTTCTGCAAAGTATCATAGTAAAGTTCATACGTGTGAAACTCGACTTAGAACTACTCTACGTACTCTATGAAATATGTTACGAGCTTAAAGTAAGATAGTGTCACTCTCACATACGTGGAGACAACTAAGATGTTATCGATAGAAATAAGTTTCGAGTTACATTAGTAGCTTCTGCTTAACAGGGATGTGAATTGTGAAAGTAGATATACCAATCTACCTTTCAAACTGATTCTTATACTTATTATACAAATTAGAAGAAGCTTCACAGTAGGTAATAATATTCTCCAAATCGAGTAAAACTCATTATTTTTAAGAGTAGTAAACCTAATGTATCGGCGAAAAAGTTAATAGTAATCTTTCCTTATTTTTACTTGTCTGCTTTTTGTAATCGATGTTTTGTCCTTAAACGTGCGAAATGTTGGTTTAATTAATATTTATGCTTGTTTCACGTCAATCAAGCAAGTCTCGATCCTTTTTAATTGCGTTCAAACGTTTTTAGTCATTATTATCAACAAGTCGATTTTATTTATATCTTTATTCCATTGACAGCGGTCGTATCAATCATCTTGTTGTAAAAACTAATCAGATCAATTTGACGAGTACGTATTTTTATTATGTTTAGTTATTTGACGACAGGTATATTTGGTAATTACTTTTTACAATGTGGTCCAATTTATAATCTAACGTGTTTCGAATTATCAAATAGTCTTTTAATAGAAATAACAATAAATTAAACAAAATTAATGACAGTTTCAGCTGTTACCTACAGTAGGTGCCCTCAGTCAACGTTCATTAAAGTATCGACATCGGTACGACACCTGGACATCACTAAATCGAGTACCGTATTACAATCACTTTTAAATTAACTATTCTTGAACTTGACCTTGGACTTTAAAGACTGACCCAAATATCAGCTTAAAGTTTTTGTTTATTATGGTAATTAATATGAATTATTAATAACTGTTTTGATCTATCATATTGAAGGAGTTCCTTCAGGTAAGTAATTATTTAAATATAATATACGGCTATACAAAAGAATGAATAAACTACGACCATTTTATTAGGACACACGGAACTCTTAAAATGTAAATTTTTCAAGAGACAATTCTTGCACACATCACTGAGTTTAGGTTTCAATATAAATTGGTTATATCTCCTCTGTGTTTTGACACTTGAATGATACAAGCCATTAATCTTGAATTTAAAATTCTTTTGTAGACAAAGTAAGTAGTTGTTTTAAAATAGTAGAAATTTAGGTTTTAGAAAATAGAAATTTATTATTACGAACGGATGTATCAGCTTACAACATGCGTGTATACTTATTTGTGGGGATCAAACATTTTTGTCAAACAACGACAAACTTATGGATCACAAAATAGAAAAATCGGTCAACCAGCTGTTGAGTTATTGAAGTACATGATTATTTGTCAATATACAAGTACTTTTATTTATCATTTGATTTGATAAATAACTTCTGACTCGCACAGTAAAACTGTGGAATGATCTGTCGTCGACGGTATTTCCGAACCGATACGACCTTCAAACCTTCAAGAAAAGAGCATATTTATTTTTAAAAGGCCGGCAACGCACATGTTGCTCCTCTGGTGTTGCGGGTGTCCATGGGCGGTCCTGATCGCTTACCATCAAGTGATCCGTCTGCTCGTTTGCCTTCTATTCCATATAAAAAACAAAAATTTGTTGACAGCAACTGGATACATGGTACATACATCTCACTGCCGCTTGGGAAAGCGTTTAAGAAACGTTACTTTTTTAAAGAGTGCTTATAGTTTATATCCAACATTACCAGAATTATTATTTAAATGTATGTCATACTCGTGTTTGTGTCTTTCCTCGAAGTCTTGTTGAACAACTTTCTTTGCCAACACTGTTCAACGGTCACTAATTAGGTAAGAGTATATACTTGACCGTTTCGGTTCTATATTGTCTAGCGTGACATCTTCAACTTGTTGATTTTTCTCGAAGGGCATGGCTTGATATTAAGATACCGTGAATAGTTTTATTGACTTGTGTATGCAATTAAGAGATAACTGTACCTATTGTGATAGTCGTTCTTAAGAACATGATGCTTCTATTACCTAAATGTGTCGCGGAGAACCTAACGGGTTACTGGCTCCGGCTCGACGTGCAGGAGAAGGAACGGGGTGGTTTTTAGTCAGTAAGAGTCTGACACTCCCTCCCGCCTCCCCCAGGCGGGAGCAGCCATTCGATGATTTATGCTCCCTTAAAAAAAATGACTTACCTAAATGTCATTTACGCAGTAAAAAAATGTGTGAAGTCGCCATCTTTTAAATCCGTCTACTAATTTACGCAAGTTGACGAATCTAACAATATTTACTGCCGCTGGTTTCAAAAAGAAATGCAATATAAATATGATTTAATAATATATTGTTATAACTTTTTTTTTATATTGTTCTCTTTTTTTTGTTTAAAATGTGCAAAAAAATTGATCATTTTTAAAATCATACCTGTGTAGTTTTAATTAGGGTAGATGTTATATATGTATCATATTTGATGATCCTTGATTCATCAATAACATGTACGGTACAATCTTGATTTATTCGAATATTTCAGTCATTGATAACAGGAAATTAGATAATTTAAGTCTGTTAACTGTTTAGTCGTGGAATTATTCAAAATTCTTCATACATATTCATCTTGCTCAGTGATTAAAATGGATATAGAGTGAGGCTTTGTGACTTTTATGATACCTCGCCTATTTTATAGCTTTGAATTTCCGATACTCGTAACATTAGGGCAATGATCTTTATTTTGTTTTTAATTAGAGAACAGAGAAAGATGTTCCATCTTTAAAAAGAATCTTATCTTTTGGTAGCTAGGTATATATATGTAACATAACATAACACATAACATAACATCACGCCTTTTACCCCTGAAGGAGTAGGAAGAGGTGCACATTATGCCACTGTACAATGTAACACCCACTTTTCACTATTTATTTTATGAGTCCCATGTAATAGGGGGTGAACCTATTGCCATATACCAGGCACAATTCCGAACTCCATGCTACTACTGAGATTTTTTTAGAAGGCAGTAGGTAATACTTTGCCCGACCCGGGAATCAAACCCGAGACCCCTTGCCCGGTCAAGTATAGATATGTAGAACATGTTATTCACAAGTGATCCTCTTAATATTACCTATTTAAGGAATTGCTCTAGTGTCCAAATACTCAAACGCTACTCTTGTCATTACAAATTCTTTGTATAGCACGATATTTAAATTCAATTTAAAATAGTAGTAGCCTTTCAATATTCAGACGTAATTATCGTAAATTAATCATTCTCTTTTTGGGGTAGGAGTACGTTGGTCTTATTTATAGTCGTCTATCATTGACTTCGATGAATTTTGAATTTAACTCGCTTCATTATTTCCAGACGCCAGATTTGCAGATGTATAATTTCTACCTCATTATAAAATTGTGTAGACAAAAGCCTACCTACCTACCTTCGAGTTTAAGATGATTTTGGTTCTTCTCGTATCGTGTTGAAGTAAAATAAGCCAGGTGTACTATTGCGTGCTGGAACTGTGGATATTTTTAGACATCGGTTATTATTTACTCATTTGACGAGTAACTATGTAGGAATAAAGAATAAAGAGCGAAACTATGTATGGTGATTACTATTCTTGTCTGTTTTAACGTCTCTTGTTCAAGTTGCATACATCTTGTATTTATTAGTTAATAGAGAACTGGATGATATTCAGATCGTTTATATCAAAACTTTCGTAAGACAAACTAAATTAATTATAATATTTTCAGTTATGAGTATAAGCCTCTAGCATGGCTTGAAACTAGTCGAGTTCTTCGTCAAACAGTTACGATATTCAGATTTATCCATTTGCATATCGAGAACAGGACATAATTGACTGATTCTTTTATGGATTTGATGCGAAAAAGTGTTATTCTATAGCTAATGCTTTTATTTAACATCTTTGATTCATTGACAAGTAACATAATAGGTTTGTGACGATTCTAAATTTGTTCAAAGACAGGAGTTATTTAGGTAGATACATTTATTTAACTCGTCGAGTACCGGTTTTGTAGACACAATTATAGAACAATAGGTTGCGGTCACCGGTGACCGCTTGGTGTTTGACAGTTTAAAATATTTTTTTCAATTTACCGATTTCATTCCAATTTTTCTAGATGTTTATAAGTTTAAAAGTGCTTTTATTTATTTACAAATTAATAAGACTATAAATTAGATTTATCTGCTTTGTAGATTGGTACCTCATAAAATTAGATTGGACAGTCGAAGTTGGTATCTATGTTTATCAAAGTGATACCGTTTTGTTAATTAACATTGAAGCTATTTAAAATATCTGTGATCTTTTATTACGTTTTAATTAGTGAATTTTTGAATTAGTTGACGCTGATACTTATATAATATTTGCTAGAATCTCAGTGAGTTTCGGATTTCAATATTTTCATTAGTTACACATATGCAAAAATGATAGTGCAGATTGTTTCACTGCCTCGTTGGCCGAGTGGTCATAAGTGCGACTGCCGGACAAGGGGTCTCGGGTTCAATTCCCGGGCCTACCCGGACGTTAAGTATTACTAGGTTTTCTAAAAAAATCTCAGTGGTAGCACGGAATCTGGAATATGGCAATAGGTTCACTCCCTATTGGACTCATATATAGTGAAAAGTGGGTGTTACATTGTATAATGGCACTAAGTGAGGTAATGTGCACATCTGGATAAAAGGCGTGATGTTACATCAAAATAAAGTGTACCGGAAGTCCAGAGCTAATCTATTTTGATGAATAGGCGCTGATACTGCTCATAGAAGTGGTCTCAGTTAGATAAAAACCCCACTTTCCTTAGTCTTTCACGCCAAAAACTGCTAGTTTTGCCTGCTGATGATTGCTAAAATTGACGTGTAAAAGTGCTGCTTTGTAGCCATTTGCAGAAATAAATTCACTTGTTATGTTTTTAGAAACACACAAAATAAATATAATAAGGTTTCTTGAAATTAAACATTTTCTTTTCTATCTTATCTTATCTATAAATCTAAATGCTCTATTATTATCTATATTTTAAAACAAGGACACATTGTTTTTTATTAGATCAGCATTAGGACACTAACCGACCTTGCTAAGAGATTGTAACAATTGCCTACATTAGGAAGGAATTATTGCTTGTTGACATTTTGATGTACCTACATAATGAATCATACATGTATACCTACGTGCCTACACGGGCCTATGATTAATTTTGACGTGACAACGTCTTAAATTAGGTTGCGGCTGGGAGTCACTTATGAAAAAGTGTAACGCTCGGTAACGTTACGATGAGTCACCGAACGAGAGAGAGGCCCGCCGAATGCCTTGCGTCTCTCTCCCACTCAACTATGATCGGTCTGCCGCGCGCGCAGCACTAGTTCATTCAATTCCTTGTTCCTATTGTGCAATTTAATTATATTCATATCAATAAATATTCTACCGAGAAAAAGACGTTGTCACGTAAAATCTTCGCCCGTAAAAACGACTTTACAGGCAACCATTTTTTTTTTT